AACTGGCCCATTTGCTATTCTCCAGACTTGGCCTTCCATGATGGCTGTCTTCCATGATGGAGATGTACTCTCTTCTCATCTACACCTCTTGGAACCCTGAGCTCCCTTCGGTGCTCAGCTTAGTTGCGTCTTCCCATGGAATCAGGAACCTGGGCCAACGAGATTTCTAGGTCTGCTATTTTGTTGTAGTGTCAGTGTGTGAAGGGCTCTGGGTCACTTAGCCATGACAGCCCTGGAGGACGCTGGGAAACCTCTTGCCTTTCAGCAGAACAATGAAAAACGTGTTGCATTTACTCATGTAATTTTTGATAACCCTATTATCTGTTAATGTTGTCTTTTGCTGAATAGTCTGGAAGCTTCCAGGGTTTTCTAGGCCTTAGCAGTTCACCTTTATGAATGTCCCATTAATTTTATAAATAGTTCTATAGATGCACTGATCTATACTTTATCCTCTCTTTCCTGCTGCTTCCATCCTTTGATTTTTTTCCCCAAGAGAATGATGATGCATTTTGAGAGATTCTTGCTGTTCAATCCCTCTTGTAGTTTCTTTGATGAGTCTTCAATATGGTCATGTATGTCAACAAGAGAAATATTCCTTGGGCTGGACTTAGTAGAGTGCTAATGGTCACTTCTTCCATGCTCCTCCCTGAGCCTTTTCCTCTTCCCCTTAGATGCTAGTACTCCATCCCTCCTCAAATTTGCTTATTTATATATTGATATGTTGTACCCTCCGGGAGAATAGAGGCTCCTTGAAGAATGGAAATGTTTTTGCCTCTATATCCCTTGGCTAGCACATTTTTATGCACATAGTACAGACTTAATAATGCTTGTTGTATCATCTGGAATCTCTTTTCTTCTGCCACTTCTCACCTTTATATCCTCAGCTCTGCCTAACCCCAACCATCTGATTTCTCTGCCCCTCTACCAAGTCAGCAGAACACTGATAGATGAAATCTTGAAACTCAGCTGAATTCACTTACTTCAAATTTCTGTTACCCAACCTCAGCTGGGAACTCACAACTCCTTAATAATATCTCTCCTCTAAACTTATTGACTCACTTTCCATTTCTCAGAAGAGTTTGTTTCAAGACTTTCCCTTCTCTCTACTCCACCCACTCATTACCCCAGGCCTCTAGTTACTTAGGTTAGTACTTCCCTGAGGACACCCAATGGGAGCACCCACAACCCTTCCCTTCATTATTTCCTTAGAACTCAGCATCATCACCTAATTAGGAATTTCTACTCATTAATGCTAATCCCTCTATTTGCGTTATTGATCCTAATCCCTCCTACTTAAAAAAAATGAAAAAGAACTTATGAAGCATTTACTATGTGCCAAAGACTGGCTAAATAGGAGAAATAAATAGAAAAAGTGAAAAATTCTTGCTTTCCAGTGGCTCACACTCTAAATGGGGGAGATAGCCCACAGAAGTGTTCAGCTGTAGAGTAGATAGCATGACACAGAGTAAATGGGGAAAAAAACAGCAGTCTTCAGGGTGCATTACCTCCTCCAAAACCTTGCTGCTTACAGTCATTCTCCCTTTACCAATTACTTGCCATCTGCCTACAACATACTTAGATGTCCCCAATCCATAAAAGCTTTCATTTGGCCGCAGTTAATTATCATTCCATTTTCCCCTTCTCTGTCAGTGCCCCTACTTCCTTACTTCTCATTCCTCAGGGGGCCATCTCCAGTCATCCTGATCTGTATCTGGCCACTGGGCCCAGATGGCTCTGGAGGAGAAAGTGAGGCTGCTGACTTTGCACAGCCCTGCCTCACTTAAATCCAAGCCATGGCATCATCTTCCTGATGTCATGGGCCTCATGAGTGAATGAATGAAGGACAAACAACATCTCACTCCTCAACACCATGCAAGCTGGTATCTGCCCTTATCATTCTAGCAAAATCTTTTTTTCTCAAAATCACCAATAAGAACTCCTAATGACTAAAGCTAGGTAGCACAGTGGATAGAATGCAGGGTGTGGAGTCAGGAAGACTCATCTTCCTCAGTTCAAATCTGGCCTCAAGTCTCTTACTAGTTGTGTGATATGGCATGTCACTTTATTCTATTGCCTCAGTTTCCTCATCTGCAAAATGAGCTGGAGAAGGAAATGGCAAACCACTCCAGTATCTGTCCCAAGAAAACCCCAAAGGGGATCATGAAGAGTCAGACTGAAAAATGACTGAACAACCACAATGACTGAATAAAACAGCTCCTTTCCCTTTTCATCATCCCTGACATCTCTGCAGCTTTTGACACAATTAACCACTCCTTCCTATTCAATACTCTGTTCTCCATTTACTTCAAAGATCTCTAACAATTTTGTCTTCTGTGCCAATTTGTCATCCTCTCCCTGACTCTTTAATGAGGGTATTCCTGAAGGTTCTGTCCTTGAAATTCTTCTCTTCTCTCTTTAGATGCTCTCCCTTGGCAATCTCATTCATTTTCAAGGCCTCAGCTACCGTATCTAGGAAGAAGACTTCCAAATTTGTACTGACAGACTGGACTTCCCCCTCTAACCTCTAGATCTACCCACCTATTTAGACATCAAACTAAACGTGTCCAAAAGAGAGCTTAATTACCCCTCCCCCCAAAAAAACCACACACATACACACAACCTCCCCAAAATTCTTCCTTCTGACTCTACTATCTGTTGTCATCTCCCAGATCTACAACTTGGGGTCATTTTGTCTCTTCCCTCTCCCATCAAGGCCTGTTTACAACATCTCCTCCTGCATCTAGCCCTACCCCATTCTTATCACTGTCACCACACTATGGGCTCCGCTATGATCAGGTGCCTTTCCAAACTTGTCAAATATTATTCCATTCTTTACAATCTACACCAAAGGCATCAAACTTCTCACCTAAAACTCCGTAGTATGGCCAGAACCAGATTAAAATATAACTGGGAAATGTTTAACAAAATAAATAAAAATATAATGTAATGTTAATATGAAGTTTTCAGAGTCAATGTGTGACCCACAAGGATCTGTTTCTGTTTGAGCTTCAGACCATTGGTCCACATTCTAGCCAAGGTAGACTTCTCTCTGCCCTTTGAATACACATGCTCTTTCCCTCCTCTGGACCTATGCTTTTGCTGTTCCCTAGGCCAAGAATCCCCTCCCTGCCTTCTGTCTTTTGAATTCCTACCCACCCTTTAAAGCCCAATCACTTCATGAAACCTTCCCCAATCCCTGTCTCTCACAACCCGCCCCTTCAGACCTTATATAGCACTCAAGTCTTATAGCTTTCTATTAAACTTACCATGTTAGGTGGGGTTTAACAGTTATCTGAGCCTTCCCGCTTCACTATACTGTAAATTCCAAGAGGGCAGGCACCAGGCCTTATCTAACCTTTCAGCATACCCTTGCTCTGCCCATCAAAAGCTTAATAAACAAACGCTTGTTGAATACATGAATACAAGTTGTATCACTCTGCCCCCACCTCCCTTGCATAGCTCCTGAGACTAAAGTTCCAAATAGATATGAATTTGTGGTAAACAAGCAAACGCCCTGAGGATATTGTGGGGTGGTAGTGGTGGGTCTCAGTCACATAACTAGTTTAGAAAAGCAAAGTGAAGAAACTAATTCATAATGAGGTGTCCTCCCGGATGAAGATTAGTGTGGATATGGGGGAGGGACAGTGGAAGGTAATTAGGAGCAGGTGCTGCCATGCTGGGAGGCAGGGCTAAGTAGGGTGGGGAGGTACAAGACTGAACGGTTAGAGGGCACTAAGCATCAGTGGTGGGGTCAATACAGCTGTCATGTAACACCCCGCCCCCATTCAGTGGAACAAGAGAGGGGCAACCCAGTTTTTCTAATCCCTAACCAGAGTTTTCCATTCCCCTCCTTTCATCCTTCTCAGGCCCACATTTTGATAATAACCTTCTCCTTTCCCCTCAGAGCCAGTGCTTAATCCTTAAGAAGCTCAATGACCCTTTCCTCTAGCTCACATGTCACTGTGATCTAGTTCTGTGTTGAAACAAGAATAAATATTATTATTATAGCTAACATTTTCAATGCTTTGTATTAATTTCCTCATATTAGAAATGTATGTACATAGCACACAATCATGTTATATATGTTTATATCTAGCACATGGTTACATGCTATATATGTGTGTGTACATATATAAACTTAAGGAGTTTACATTCTATATTATATATATTTATGTGTTTGTATCTAGCATATGATTATATGCTATATGTATGTGTACATATATAAACTTAAGAAGTTTACATTCTATATATTATATATTTATGTGTTTATATCTAGCATATGATTACATGCTATATATGTGTATGTACATATAAACTTAAGGAGTTTACATTCTGTCATGACAGGCAATTTATTATATACATGCAACCATCTGAGAGAGAAAGAAGCAGAGAGAGACAAAATTCCTCAAGGAAAGGCACGCTTCATTTTCGGCCTTTCTATCTCCAGCACAGTGCCTGAACGTAGAGGTAGTAGGCACTTAACACTTGCCGATTAATCAGTTTGTGGTTTACAGCACCCCTTTCTCACAAGAATCCTCTGAAGCGTTGCTCCCAATGACCAGAGGAGGAAATTGTGTCTCAGAGTGACTGAGTGACTTGCCCAGACTCACCTGGACCAGAGGCTCAGGACTACCTTGCATTTATCACACAGGCAAGGTTGCCCAGGGCTGCTGTAGCTTACATACTCACACCTGAAGGGGAACTACGGTCCCAGCCCTGCTACTGATTTTGTATGTGATTTTGAGGGACATTTAAATGCCTCTGGTCTTTCCATTTCCACATCTGTACCATGAGAAAATGGCTGGACGCAGAGACCTCTACGTTCCCTCCCAGGTCTCCAACGCTATACACAATTCCTGAATTCTTCTTCTTGCACCCCAAGCCTAGGTTAGATATCTATTTGCTTACAGGAGTTAGTTTCTTGACCCTTTTGCTTCCACCCACAGATGGAGCTGCGCTCAGCCTCCACACCCCCTGTGCCTTCCCCAGGAGCTGCTAACCTTGCATTTAAAAGGCTTGACATCGGAGTGCACAATCATATGGGCCTTGAGTGTCTGCTTCTGCACGAAGCTCTTGAAGCACAGGTGACACTGGTAGGCTCTGATGTTGGTGTGGATCAGCACGTGCCTCTTCATGTTGGCCAGCAGGGTGAACTCCCGCCCACAGATGCCACATTTGTGCTCCTTCACGCCCTAGGAGGAGGCAGGGGGCAGGAAACAGAGTGGTTAACAGTGCCGCTTGTTCCTGGACTCAGTAAATACATTAGATTTTTGATGATTAATGCTGGGCTCCAAACGCTATGGATGGCATTTTCCTCATCCCCCTCTTCTCTTTTCCTTAAAGGTCAGCCTGCTAAAGGAGCAGCTGATTGTCATCTATCTTCTTCAGGGAAATCACAGTGAGAAAGACTATCAGGAAAAGAAAACACATCAATTTTGTTGCTGTTGTTCAGACCACAGTCTGACATCACTGGGATAAAAAAAAATGTTGTTAATTAGCTTTGGTAAGCCTGCTCTTCTCAGAAGAGTTTGTTGGGACGGGATCTATAAAAGTTCACCAACATGAAAAAAATGCATAAATGGGATGATCTCATGCCACAGGGGGACCAGCATTCTCCTGAGCTCTCGGACAGAATGTGCAGCTTCCAGAGTTATCAATACTCACACCTACCTTAACTCTTCACAAACATTCACTGCCCATTGTGTGCTAACATTGTGCCAACTCACTGTGACCCCATGTGGGGTTTTCTTGGCAAAGATATTGGAATGGCTTGCGATTTCCTTCTCCAGTTCATTTGACAGATGTGGAAACTGAGGCAAATAGGGTTAAGTGTTTTGCCCAGGGTCACACAGAAAGTGTCTGAGGTCAGATTTGAACTCAAAAATGAATCTTCCTGACTTTAGGCTTTGGTGCCTTATCTACTCTGTACCACCTAGCTGGCAATTCCTCGGCAGAGGTGGGGAACCTGTAGCCATTCCAATCCAAACTTGCTCTGTGAAGTTTCGATTCAGTCAAAGGGCTGCACTTGAGAGCCTAGAGGGCCACAGGTTCCCCACCCTTGCCCTAGGATTTATCTACTAAGCAGCCCAAGGCAAGAGCTGCTAACTGTACCTGTTGGAGGGAGTTCCTATCCAGGCAGTCCCCCACATTAATGAAATCCTGGTTCCTTCACATACTATTAGATATACCTGATTATAAACCCCCTGAGGGTGGCCAATAGTACCTAATTCATCTTTATAGACCCCCTCAGTGACCAGCCAAGTGCTTTGCAAACAACTTAGTAGGTATTTGTCCTCTTCCCTTCTCTCTTAAGGTTTGACTACTTCATCTTCTTCATTATAAGGTACCCTACTAAAAGCAGAAATATCTGCTTTGGGGAATTTAAGTTTGGACCCCTTTTTATAAAGCTTTGCTATGAGCTGGACCTAGAACAGTCTGCAAATGTTTCTTGAATGAATAAACCATCAACTTGGCTTTTGAACTCACAGCCCTCAGTCACTACAGACAATGTGGGACGTGATTGCTGAGCCCCCCAAAAGACAGGCTGCCGATTTCCAAAAAAGAGTTGGCAAGGAGAGGGATCACCCTCTGGGATTATAAAACAGTATGGAAGGAGTTGTTCTTGTTTCATTGTTTTTTGAGAAGTGCTTGAATGCTTAAGTAATGATGCTCTCAACTGAGAACATTTCCTGGGATTCATAACTGGGGTTGGGCCATTAGCTAACCCCAGCTAGTCATCATTTTCAAGAAAAGGCCTTTTTAGAGAGACCTTGACCCATTATAAATCTTGGGAGTTGAAACTGGGAGGAAAAGAGCTTTTAAAAAACAAAAAACAAACAAATTCCAAATGTTTGTACACTCTTTGTAACCTCTTTGAAGGCAAGGACTTTTTTTTTCATTTTTCTCTTTGTAGCATAGTGCCTGGCACATAGTAGCTGCTTAATAAAAGCTTATTAATTGGTTAATTGACTAGTAGCTTGTAGGTCCAGCCCTGTAGTAAAAAATCCTCATGTTGTAACAATATATTGGTTCTCTGTGATAACCTACTTAAGTAGGACATGAGTGACAGCTTTAAATTCCAAACTCATTTCTGCCATTTACTTTCTATGGGGCCTGGTAGAAAGTATGGAACCAGGCAGCTGAGTGGGGAATGGATGCAGCACAAGACTTGGAGTGAAGATCGTGTCTTGGATGTTCCCTAGCTGTGGGACCCTGGGCAAACTACTTACTCTCTCTCTCCCTCAGCTTCCTCATACATAAAATGGAGATAGTGATAGCACCTACATCATGGGATTGATATGGAGGCCAAATGAGTTAACACATGCACTTATTTGCAAATCTTAAAGTCTTATGTCAATGCTTGCTGCTGCTATTACTATTATTACTACCTATGACTGCATTTCCTCCTTAGAATGGCTATGATAAGAAAGTACCACTTCTCAGGATGACTAAGAGAAATAATTAGTCAAAACAATTAGGGGGGTGGACAGATATATATTAAAACCAAATAAGAAGCCAGCTCATCTGTAAAAAATGCTGATAGGACTTGGAGCTGCAAGAAAGAAGAAATTCAACCTTTTCCATTTTGTTAATAAAAATAACTTTTTAGTGAGTAATAAATCTAATTTAGAAAAAAGAAGCCTTTTTATTGAGTATTCAGATAATGAGTTTTTAAATCACAAAACAAATTTAAGTACATTTCTGTTTTACGGGGGGGAGGGGGGAGGTACTGGTGCCAGCTGGTACTGGAGCTGATTATTAAATTTTCATTGTGAGCATTTAACACCTCAGAAATCAGCAAACACTACAAATTGGTGCTTTATTTAATGTTTTCTTGATTACCTAGGCTTAAGAAAATGAAGAAGAAAATGTTAATAATGCAGATTAAACTTAAAAGTCTGTCTAGGGTATAGATAGATAGACAGATATAGAAATATCTACATATGCATTTTGTTATTGTTCAGTCATTTTCAGTCTCACTCTTTGGAATCTCATTTGGGTTTTTTGTTTGTTTGGTTTTTTGGTGAGGCAATGGGGTTAAGTGACTTGCCCAGGGTCATACAGTTAGTAAAAGCGTCTGAAGCCACATTTGAACTCAGGAAGATGAGTCTTCTTGACTGTAGGACCAGTGCTCTATCCACTGTGCCACCTATCTATATATATTTCTTCTCCACATACATTAACAATTTCTTCTTCTCTCTCAGCTAGTTGTTAATCATTTACCAGCACACTTCTGTTTTTAAATCACTGAAAGCATTCTAAAGTGTTTTGTTTCAAAATTTTCATTTTTTTTAAAACTCCAATTTATAAAGAAGTAAAAGCTGAAAGGGACCTTAAAGATCATGTGGCCAATTCCCTTATTTTGCAGATGGAAAAAAAACCAAACCAACAACCTTTTTTAGGATTTTCTCTGTAGTTGCATCCTAAAATTACACCTCACGTTTACATAATCCTGTAAGTTTGCAAAGCATTTTACACCTGAGATTACATATGAACCCCACAATAACACTGCAGAGTAGGCGTTATTATTATTCTCATTTTATAGATAGGAAAACTGAGGCTCAGAGAGGTAGTTGTAAGTGACCTGCCCAGGGTCAACCACCTGGTGTCTGAAGCGAGATTTAAAGCCAGATCTTCCCACATTTGCTGAGAATGGCACAATAGAAAGAGAATTGCAAGTTGGAGTCCAAAAACCCTTGGTTCTCAAACCAGGCTCGGCTTATTTTTGACCTTCCTGGCTTTGTTCCCTCATCTGTAAAATGAGAAGGCTGGGCTAGATTTGTAGCCACCAAGTCTTCTAGCTCTAAATCCTATGATAATCTGAGCTGCCCCTTTTGTAAATAGGGTCGTTTCTACCTAAGGAACTTAACATGTGTTGAATATTAAGGCTTGATCAGAAACTGAGTCCAGGGCTCTTTCTAGCAAGGCAGAATGAGCTACTATGAACAGTGTCATACATAAGTCCCAGGCAGGCCACCGTGAGCCCTAGTGACCCACTAGATCATTCTGGCACCAGGAAGGACAATATGCCTATTTTAGAGATATATATTGCTGGGGTGGGGTGTTTAGAATTAAAAAATTAATTTGTTTCTGAAATGAAAATCACATGTGAACCTTCCTACTCCATTCTACACAATTCTGAAATAAGCCCTACGAAATAAAGGAGATGCTGTGTGCACTGTAGGCCCAGAATGATTGTTGGAGTTGGAAGCCTTCAGAGACTGCCAGGGGCCAGAGAGCAATCTTGGGGCACCTGAGGCAGGTGCACAGAAAAGTAATTGTTATTCCATTTTAAATTTTTGTTCATTTAAATGCATTTTGATTCCTAAATCGAATGAAATTTTACTATGGGACCATCTGTTCCATCTGTCTTTTCATTCCCCTCTTCCCCTGCTCCCAGATTATCTTGAACCCTTTTTTAAAAGAATGTTAGAAATTCCCCATCAACTCCTTTCCATGCAGTATCAGGTCTCCTGAAATGAGCTATGCTGTCTCTCAGTCTTAATTTAGGTCCTTTGTCTCAAGTTCCTGGGTTTGGCAAGACCCTGTCTCCCTGGATGACATCCACAGGTGCCTTTTGTTAATACAGGGCAGAAACAGTTTATGCAAAACTCACAAAGCCGCTACTCCTAGAGGACCCAGAAAGGGAGCTAGGTTTGGTGCAGGCCTTTCAAATGCAACCCATTCTAGCAGGACAGAAATTTTATCTTAGTCAGGCATGGGCCTCCTTTGACCCTTTAGTATTAAAGGATGTTCTTGAAACTCGGTCTTAGGAGACAAGCCTGCCATCAAAAAAAGCCAGCTGAGGTCAAAGGGATGGGAGGAAGCTAGGCTCCCTTCCCCAGAGCTCAAAACAGACCAACGGCCACCTCAATTCAGGTTAGGTTTTAGGTCATCCACTCGGTTTAGTTCAACCCAAACAGATTCAGAGTTTTGAGCCAAACTCAACCATGGAGGCAATCATTTTAGTGCCTGGGTTTGCTGTAGCTATGGGCTGAGTCTGAGGGCAAAAAAGACAAAACCAATCCAAGAGACTGAGAAAAAAGGTTCTCAAACATTCTACATACTGAGGTGACCTGGGAGTTGAATTCCTATTCAGCGAAGCACTGAGCTGGGACAATGCAGACTTCTCCTCCTGTAAGCCTCCTGCAGAAGTGGGTAGGGGGAGGCAATCTACTTCACTCCAGAGAGAAGTGAGAGCTTATGTGGGGGGACTGGCAACAAGGAATTACCAAGAGCAAGGCTCTTGCTTGGTGCTCTTGCCCTTTCCACCAGAAAACAGCCAGCCAGGGAAGTGGATCAGGACCAGAGGGCTTCAGCCCAGGAGGCTAGGAGTCAGGGGACGTGGGTTCTCATCCCAGATTGGCCACTTTGCCAGCTCTGTGACCTCAGGCATGTTATTTACCTCTCTGGGACTTTCTTTCCTCATCTGTAAAATGGATGGGTTGCACTAATTGAAGTGAAAGGTCAATTCTAGCTCTGAAGAGCATCTTCTATTATAGCGCCTACCTCAGTAGGCCTCAATTTCCTCATCTATAAATGAACACAAGAAGGTCGGGAGGTGGAGGCCGGTAGATGGATAGCTGGAGCTTGGGAGTTCTGAGCTGCAGGAGCTATCTGTTTGTCTATACTAAGTTTACAACTGATATATTTAGTCCTCAACAGGAGGGGGCAGTTGGCTGCCTGAGGAGGGCAGGACAGCCTAGCTCTGAAATGGAGTAGATCCAAGCTCTCGCTTTGATCTGTGGTGGGTTCTGGCCCAAGAGGGGCTGCTTCATTTCCAGTCTGAGCAAGATGGGGAGAACCAGTCTCAAAAATAAATGAAAGAACGAATGAATGTGGAGTTTATGTGAACCAGATGGCTTCTGAGGTTCTAGTAAGCTCTATATCTGTGATCCTATACCTTTTCTAACTTTTATGTACAGGTGATATTTACAGAAAGGACTATGTCATAGGTAAGGAAGAAACAGGGAAGTTGGAATGATACAGTGGATAGAGCTCAGGGCCTAAATTCAGGAAGACCTGAATTCAAATTTGACCTCAGAAACTTACTAGCTGTGTGACCCTGGGCAAGTCACTTAACCTTGTTTACCTCAGTTTCCTCCCTGTAAAATGAGCTGGAGAAGGAAAGGCAAACCACTCCAGTTTCTTTGACAAGAAAACCCCAAATAGGGTCACAAAAAAACAGACACAACTGAACAACAACAAAGGAAGAAAGAGAGATCGGTGGTCAGTGCCCTTATTTCAAGCTCCCAAAATCTAAAATAAAAAAAAAAATCTGTACTTGGCTACTAGGCCAAGGTTGGACTAGTCTTCGTACAATGTTGAAGCATGTCGCCCACCTCTTGAGAGGGGCAGCAGTCCAGGTGCAGAAAAAAAAAAAACTCAGATTTTTTTGGACCTGGACAAAAAAGGAATTTGTTTTATATATCTATGTGTATTTTTGTTTTACTTGTTAAAAATAAAATGAAGTGGGGGACTTCTGCTTCTGGAAGCCAAGATGGCAGAGTAAAAAGGTAGTCACTCTCACCCTCCCCTATCAACCTTTGAAAACCCAGAAAATATCACCCCAGAAAAACAAAACAAAACCCTGGAACAGCTGAACTAGAAGAAAGATGGGGAACAGCAGTGCAGCAGCCCAGCAAACAGGTCTCCCAGTGCCTCAGCAAAAATAAGGGAAGCAGCACTACAAAGGGCCCCAGGCAGATAAGCACCCTGCAGCATTCATCTGAAAAGAGCTGAAGAAAGCAACCTAGAGTCTTCCTAAAGTCCGAGCCTTGCTGATTCCAGCTTCAACACCAGGTAAGCTGTCAGAACCTCCAACTGTCAACCAGGAAGAGATCCTGCAGCCCAAGTGGTAGAGCAGGCAAACACCAACACCTGGACCTCTGAGTGCCTCAGTGGGGGGGAAGAGATGGGGCCCACTGGTGGAAACCAGCTCAGAAAACCACCAGGTACCTCAGCACTCTACCACAAAGGAATCTCCCAGTGCATTAGCAGAAATGAGGGAGACAGCACTGCAAGGGGCCCCAGGCAGACAAACACCCTGCAGATCCCACCTAAAAGGAGCTGAAGAAATCTAAAGGAAAGGAAAAGCAGGCAACCTAGAATTGCCTGAAAGTTCCAGCCTTGCTGATTCCAGCCCAACACCAGGTAAGCTGCCAAAACCCTACAGCCTCCAACTGCCAACATAAGAGGCCCCATCACACAAAGCCAGTGACCAAGACCTAGGTTCCCAGCACAAGAAGCTTGGGTCAGTGCCCTCTGTTCCCAGAAGGAGAGCTCAATCTCTTTAAAGGACAGGGAATAAAGAAACCATGAATAAAAAGAAATGTACGATAGATTCATATTATGAGAAGAGTGGAGATCAAGACAGAAATTCTGAAGAGGACAACATTGTCAACAAACCCACTTCTGCAACATCAAAAGGGAATATGAACTGGTCTGAAGCCCAAAAAGCCTTCTTAGAAGAGCTCAAGAAGGATTTTAAAAGTCTAATGAGAGAGGTAGAAGAGTCCTTTAAAAATACAATTGGCCAATTGAAGAAGGAAGTACAAAAACAGAAGAAAACAATCTGTTAAAAACTAGAATTGGACAAATGGAAACTAATGACTCTATGAGACAGCAAGAATCAGTCAAACAAACAAAAAAATGAAAAAGCAGATGAAAACATAGAATACCTCATTGGTAAAACAACCAACCTGGAAAATCGATTCAGGAGAGACAATTTAAAAATTACTGGACTACCTAAAAATCATGATGAAAAAAAGAGCCTGGACAGTATCTTTCAGGAAATCATAAAGGAAAACTGCCCGGAAGTCCTAGAACCAGAAGGTAAAATAACCATAGAAAGAATATGCTCACCACCTCAAAGAGATCCCAAATTGACAATGCCAAGGAATATAATAGCAAAATTCCAAAATTACCAGATGAAAGAGAAGGTGCTGCAAGCAGCCAGAAAGAAACAATTTAAATATCATGGAACCACAGTCAGGATTATACAGGACCTTGCAGCTTCTACATTAAAAGACTGCAGGGTGTAAAACATGATATTCAGTAAGGCAAAGGAGCTTGGATTGTAGCCAAGGATCAACTACCCTGCAAAAATGAGCATGATTTTTCAAGGGAGGAAATGGATATTCAGTGAAATAGGGGACTTCCAAGCCTTCCTGATAAAAAGACCAGAGCTCAACAAAAAATTTGATCTTCAAGTACAAGATTCAAGACAGACATGAAAAGGTGGATGGGACAGAAAGATACAAAATGTTGTTCATAAGGGCGGACTGTTTACATCCCTACAAGGGAAGATGACACTTGCAACTCTTGAGAACTGTATTTTATTACACCATGTTAAAGGAGTATGCATAAAGGGGGGTGGATATTAGTTGACTTTGATGTAATGATAAAAAAAAATCTAATCAAGTGGGTTAAATGGATCCAAAAGAAGGAGGCAGACAAGGGTAAATTACATTACAGGAAAAGACACAAAATCCTATTACAGCAGAGGTAAAGAAGGGAGGGGGGTGATCTTACTCTGATCAGATTTGGCTCAAGAAGGGAATAACATAATAAGTTAGGTATAGAAATCTAACTTGCCATATAGGCAGTAGGAAGGAAAAGGGGGAAAAAAGGGAGGGAGGAAGAGAAGAGAGGGAAGAAGCAGTAAGGCTAAAGGGGAAGAAAAGGGAAAGGGAGGGAGGAACTGAGAGAGGCGGTGGTCAAAAGCAAAACAGTGGTGAGAATTTGTACTTACAATTTCACTAGTATGAAAATATGTTTAATAGGAATGTAAATGTATAACATATATCATATTGTGTGCCGTCTTGGGGAGGGTGGTGGGGAGGAGGGGGGAGAAAAATTTTAAACTCAAAAGCATATGGAAGTGATTGTTGATAAATCAAAATAAACTAATAAATTTTTTCAAAAATTTAAAAAAATAAGATGAAGTGGAAGAGAAAACAAATTTTTGTTCATTGAAAAAAAAAACTTTTTGGGGGAGGCCTTTTTTTTTCTTCACCCAAGCCTTCCCTAGCTCCCAGCTGTTCCGCTTACCTTATGGGTGAGGGAATGCTGCTTGAGGTGATGGGGCTGCACAAACTCCATGCCACACTCAGAGCAGATGTAGGGCCGGATGTCCTGGTGTTTCATCATGTGGTTCTGGAGCTGGCTGGGGTACTGGAAGGTCTTGTCACACTCGGTGCAGTTGTACTGGATGGGGCCCCGGTGAGTGGTGAGGTGCCTCTTCAGCTGGGCCAGTGTGGGAAATTCCAGGCCACATTCCACACAGATATTCTCCCTACCGCTCTCGTGCTTGGACTCGTGGGCCTTGAGCTCACTGGGGTAGGCAAAGCCCCGGCCACAGATCCTGCAATTGTAAGGCTTCACGTCACTGTGCTGCATCATGTGCCTCTTCAGGTGGCTGGTCTGCGTGAAGGCCTTGTGGCAGACCTGGCACTTGTGGGGCCGGGTGCCCTGGTGGGTCAGCATGTGGGTATGCAGGTGGCTGAGCTGCTTGAAGAGCTTCCCGCAGCGGGTGCACGCGTGGGGCTTGATCCCGCTGTGGCCCAGGATGTGAGTGACTAGGTTGTACTTGGAGGTATAGGACTTCTCACACATGGGGCACTGCCAGCGCTTCTGCTCTCCGCCCACGTCCACGTAGTAGCTGTCATCGATCTGGATATTGACGTCCACCCGCTCCACCTTCTGCTTGCTCTCCTCACTGTCCTGCCTCTCGGTTTTCTGGGACACTGGTGGCTGGGTTGGACGTTTGGGCTGGAAGGAATGCCGGCTGTAGGGGAAGCTGGGGGGAGGCATGAAGAAAGGGAACACCAGGCCCGGGTGGACTTTGGGGTAGTAGGGGTAAGGTGTAGGTAGGAATGGTGGGGGAGGAGGGTGGGACCACATGGCACTGGGTTTGATGGGCTCTTGCTTGATGGGTTTGGCCCCCAAGTGTTCTAGGGTGCGGTAGAACTGGAAGCCAATGTTACAGAGGTCAATCATCTGGGCATCGTACTTGGGGGGTGGGGGCTGCTGGAAGAGCAAAGGGAGGCCAGGAGAGCCGTGGCTTTTGTCCTTATCAGGTTGGTGGGAAGTTGTGGCATCAGCCGGAGGGTGGTTATAGGGCATTTTGGTGGGCATGCTCTTCCGCTTCCGAGACCCACCCCCTTCTAAGATTCCTGGAAATCCATCTAGGTCTCCTGAAGGAGGTTCGTACCGAAACTGGGCAAAGGGTCCCCTGAACTCTTCTGTAAAGGGTGGTCTCTGGTGAGATTTCATCCTTGGGGCTCCCAACTGCAGGCAGTGGGGGAAAGGTGGAGCTCTCTTCATGCCCATGCTGAAACACACATCTTCATCTTTGGTCATCCGTGACTCGTTCTGCATTGTTGGTGGCTTCCTCTAAAAAGAAAGAAAAGTTAGTTGAAAACTCTTCACCTTCAGGTCTCGGGTGGATGAGCTCAGTACTGATTTATAGAAAGTAATACTTGCTTCCCATTGAGCTTAATGTCTTCTTCCCAGAGCCATTTATGATACCACTTAACTTTCCCCATGCAAACAAGGTCAGTAGAGTTACAGAGCACTGAAGTTACACCCTGGTATCTGAATTCTAAATCACCTTCAAGTCCAGTCTGTTCGGAGTTCTTTAAATCAAATCTTCAGATATTTATTAAGCATCTACTACGCTAACTGTGCATCTTTGGTGTATACACCTATATCACAGCATTTTGGGGTAAATCATATTAACAAGCCCCAAGCTGAAGTCAGGTTTAGCTCATTCCTATAGCACTTTAAGGTTTGCAGAGCACTTTCCTTGCTATACCACTGGGGGACATGTTTACCACTGGCAAACAGGGTTAAGTGACTTGCTCAGGGTCACACAGTTAGGAAGTGTCTGAGGCCAGATTTGAACTCGGGTCTTCCTGATTCCAGGCTCAGCGCTCTATCCATCATGCCACCTAGCTATCCAGGGACCTCAGTTTACTCATTTGTAAAATATGGAGATTGGGCTAACTGGCCCCTAAGATCCCTTCCGGTGCTAAATCTATGATTTAAAAATGTAGAAACTGAGGCTGTAAGAGGTTGAGTGAATTGCCTATGGTCAAACAAGTAGGGAACATTGGAAGACTAGATCTGACCCCAGATTTCCTGACCCCCAGTTTAGTGCTTTCTCCACCATGCCCTGCTCTCCGAAACAAAATGTACAACTTAGGAAATTTCTCTAGGTATGACTTGCTCTCTCCCTATGCCCGATTTCAGCTGTCCCTGTGACGGGAGGCAGAATGCAACCCACCTGGGCTAGAGTCCTATCTCTTGGACAGTTCTGCACCAGGCATCCCCTCCCCAACCACCCCTGCCCTCTATCCAAAACACGGACTTCCATTTTCCTCAATGAAGAAGGCTGTGAGTCCCAGTAAACACACTGAATATATATGGGAGGTGGGGTGTCTCTCAGAGATCTCAGCCAAGAACATGGAAATGTTTCTTCTTCCAAACATCCTGAGTCTCTTCCTCACCCTAATCTCTTTATCAGCCAAAGATGAACAACCTCCTCAAGTCACATGATTAGTTCACCTCATTCTCAATGTTGGGGAAGCTGCTGACTGTATTTTCTATGTTGCTCCAGTTGCAGCTGGGTTTGGGTTGTGATGGGTCCATTCTTGGCAACTAAATTCAGCTCCTGGTTCAGTATGGTGGTGTCAAATTCGAATGGAAACTGGGGCCACTCTTAAACCATATTGACTTAGAAAACATATTAACATCTATGTTCTACTGTATTTTTACTTATTTTTGTTAAGTATTTTCCAGTCACATTTTAATTTGGTTAGGTGTTTGACACCTCTGGCTCCGATGCACAGAGGAGACATTTAATACATGTTGCTGAATGAATAACAATAGCTAATATTTATGTAGCATTTACTATAGCCAGGCACTTTGCTAAGTGCTTTACAAATATTTATCTTATTTGATCCTCACAACAACCCTGGGAGGTAGGCACTGTTATTATCCTCATTTTACAGTTGAGGAAACTGAGGCAAACAGAAATTAGGTGACTTGCCCCAGAGTCACATAGCTAGTAAGTATGTGAGGATGGCTTAAGAACTCAGGTCTTCCTGATTTCATGCCCAGCACTCTATCCACTAGGCCACTTAGCTGCCCCTAGTTGAATGATATAGCGAAGGCATGAATAGAGTCAGTCTGGCCTTGTGTTCCTTCTAGACCTGAGGTTTAATGGAGACAAAGGATCCTGTTTATTTAATGGGACTAGGATAGGTCCTTAAGGGCAGCCCAATGGATAGAGCACTGGGCTTAGAATCAGGAAGACTCATGTTCGTGAGGTCAAATCTGACTTCAGACATTTACTAGCTATGTGGCCCTGGGCAAGTGACTTCACTCTGTTTGCCTCAGTTTCTTCATCTGTTGAATGAGCTGGAGAAGGAAAGGGCAAAATCCCTCCCAGTATCTTTGCCAAGAAAACCTCAAATGGGGTCAAAGAGTTAGACTAAAATAACTGAACAACAAAAGATGGATTTCTAGACAACCTCAGAGCCTAGAGCTACGATCCTCTACAGTGTGGCTCAAATATAGGTTTGCGTAGAATGGGTGATTTGCAAGGATCAGGAAGGCTAACTTCATGCTGGAGGCTCGCTATGGTTCTTGGTTAAATAAATAGTGTTTATCTCCACTCTAGGCAGGCTTTGAAAGCACACTGATTATCCCTCATTAGTACATAAGTGTCCTAATGAGATGTTTGTGGATTTTTTGGACAATGAAAGCTAATTTCCTCAACTATGAAGTGAGGGGTGTGCGTATTGGAATGAAACACACATATACACACACTTGTACTCACTTGTACACCCACTGCCAACAATCCAAGCCTTTCAACTTGTGAGAACAATTGGGAGCTTCTTAATCCTCTCCTGATTTTATTTCAAAGGCTCTAAGTATAAAAAAGGAGGAGATATTTTCCATTTCCTGCCTGTGCTCTTTGGGCAAGTTCCTTCTGAGCCTCAGTTTCTTCATCAATAAAATGGAGATGATAATATTTTTGCAACCAACCTTGCTGCGTTGCAAGGATCAAATGAGATAATGAAGCTGAAACTTAGTCCATACTACTGGAGGCTGAAGAGATTATATTATTGGTATGATTTGTCATTATGGCTATTGTTATTAAGATGCAACCTGAATTAGGGAGAGTCAGAGAGACCTGGATTTAGTTCACCATATCTGACTGTGGGACCCTGGGTAAGTCACTTAATTTCCCGCTGTCCCAGGCCATGCATTCACTATAAGGTTCAAAATGGTTGTGGATCTGCTGTATAGGGGTGTATAGGGGGAGGGAGATTCTTCATGTTGAGTTCTCTATATCCATGAAATCTCGGGTCTAGAATGTCCCCAAATGATTATTTTTATTCTTGTATTTGACCCTTCTTTTTTTTCCCCAATGGGAGTTGGGAAACCACACTGGTTTGTCTTCCTGGGAAGTTGGAGCTTAGAGATGGAAGGAGGGCATTGTAGAAATAGTCCTGCCAGGAATACTCAGTAATCCCATTTCCTGCCTTCCTTCCCTTTTCCAAAACATCTCTGATTTATAGAGTGCTTTATACATATACCATCACAACAACTCTATGGAATACACAGGGCAGTTATTTTTATTACTCCTGTTTTGCAGATGAGGAAACTAAGGTTCAAGAAGATTAAAAACTAGCCTAAGATGACAGTGATAGCCAGAAGGAAAATCAGAACTTGGACCCATGTATACTAGGTCTTCTGACTTCAAATACAGAGCTCTTTCCACTATAGAATGGTAATTTCCCAACATTCTTAGTAGAACATTTCATCTGTTGCCACTGCTGATAGTGAGATTAGCATGAAAGTTATATAGATAGCAGGGAAGCTAGAAGGGAGATGACTGGGGAGACTCACCAGCACTGGGGGAGAGGGGAGTGTCTTCCCCCTCTTCTTTCTCCCTCACCCCTTTCTCTGTCTGGGGCGGCCTAGAACCCATCCCAGCTGCCTGATTGCTCACAAGGCTTGGATGAGATGGGATTCACCAACTTGGATCATTCTGGCGAGATGAAGGACCTGCTCTATCACTGTGTCCTAAGGTCCTCTCAGCCTTATCATTTGCCCTAAATTTCCACCCTCCCACATGCCCTCCCCAACACTGACAACTGACCTACTGGCCTAGTCTAAGGACCCCTAGGTCTTAGCATCTAATGTTCCACTACACCTGCAGGATTTCTGGGCTTTTCCATTGGTGCTGCCACTGAACTCTTTCACGTGTCTCCTCTAATTAAAGTGTGAACTTCTTGAGGGCAGGGATTGTCCCCCTTTTTCTATTTGGATGCCAAGTGATTAACACTGTGCCTGGTACATAGTAGTGACTGGTTGACTGATTACTGATGACGGTGACACTCTACTTTCTTGAACAAATGAAAAAGCATTTGAGGCAAAGACCAAAAATGAAACAATCTCAGCCCTCAAGCATCTTACATTTTTTAAAAATTAGAAATGGTGCTATGTGACCCTGGGCAAGTCACTTAACCCCATTACCTAGCCAAAAACAAAAATTAGAAATGGTAACGTGGATTCCTGGGCTAACAGCCCTAAGCAAGACAAAATGTCTTGTGTCAATTCCCCCACTTTTTACCAATCCATGCAGCCCCCTAGACCTAAATGAAATGGAAAATGGGACACTGCATGAAGAGCAAAAAGATCAATTTGACTAGACTGAAGAGTACAGTTAGGTTGGAAAGGTTAGCTTTGAGCCAGTTGCAAAAGGCTAATAACTGAGGCCCAGACTGTGCATATGGAGATTTTTCAAGGCAAAATCAAGGAAGTGATTTCAGTTTCTCCTGGTCATTTGATCAATTTTCAACCTTGCTTGGCAAGTGTATTTCCTCTAGGGCCAGAAGGGCAAGGATCTACTTTCAAGCTCTCATGGCATCAATAAAGAACTATTAATCTTCAAATTGGACCCAACACATTATACTGAAAGGAGGGGAACAAAAGGAGAACTTTTTTTTGCTGGAGCTTTATTCAGGTTGGTGACAAAAGTCGCCACCTTTCTGTGTCTCAGTTTTCATATCTGTAACACAGATAAATGCTATTTACCTCACAGGACTGTCGTGAAGCATGTTAGAAATATGAGCTATACGTTATTTTTTCATTTGTCTATTAGGGCTCATTTTCTTTCAGATAAGCTGATGTGCAAATTAGGCAGAAGAGCCCTGCTAAAATTCAGAGAAAATCTCCTTTCTACCCTGACCATGTCTTTTTTCAAATATTTGCACAGAGGACCTTTTCCTCTGTTACTTTATCAGCTTTTAATTCTGTCATAGAAGACAGTGGAAACCTATTCACAATGAGGGAAGTTCTTCTGCCTGTTTGCAAATTGA